GATTAATAGTACTCGTGATGTTTGGAAATTTGCCAAATTGGACTCACCCCGGCGGCTCGTCCAATTTTGGCAAAATTTCCAAACATCACTCGTACTATTAATCCCTAATTGTACTCGCCATCGCATGATTACCTATACTAATTGGTGGTAATTGTTTATGCAGCAATGAAATTCAAATTTACGGCATTCGATTACTGGGATACGTTGGGATGTTTGGGCATCTCGATTAAACTAATGCTGAAGAATTTTGCAGATGAAAATTCTAATGAAAATTTGGCAAAAATACTGATATTGCCCTTATACCATGGCTGTCTGTACCAGTGTGGGTAGTACCAATGTGAAAATGCTGTGCTGAGTGGTTATATTACTACCTTAAAAAACAAGCAGAAACTCGACGTTTCGAGCGAAGACCCTTCGTCAAGATCGAAACGTCGAGTTTCTGCTTGTTTTTTAAGGTGGTAATATAACCACTCAGCACAGCATTTCCTTATACCATGGCAAGAGCTCGACAACTGCATGAGTCTGTAGCTCATTTTATTAGCAGGGTTGCAAGAAAGCTGAGCGGGGTATGCGGCTACCATGCACCCGTGAGAAAAGTTTACCACATGTGAGGTTTAACGGGAACATTGTGCTGAACACTAACACGATAAAACAAGTAAATTATACTTAACCAGGCAGGTTGAGGTTGGCCGGATGCTATTATTGTGCTGGTAAATATTAGTATACACGCGTAAAAATTACGAGCCTGCTGTTTAACAGGATTGAACAATGCTGTGGTGCCCACGTTGGCACGTTGTTCACACTTGTGAACAATATTGTTGAGCTTGAATCGGGTGTAACAATATTGTTCAATGTTGTTGACAACTGTGAACAATGTGGGCAGCACAACATTGTTCAATCCTGTTTTCATCAATATTGCAACAACCTGGTCGTTTTTAGCCCTGTAGGTAATAGTATGATTTCGAGTGCAATGTGGGAAAATCATGTACGAGTGAGTCTTGAGTATGTTTTTCCAAATTGCACGAGAAACCATACTACTACTTATTAATAATATGAAAAAATTATGCAGTCACATGCGTGCGTAGGTCACATGCGAAAAATTAATAGTTAATTTTAATACAAATATTTTTAATAGAAAATCAACTAAAAACGCCAGCCATTTTTGTCACTGTAAATGTTTGGGTTTTTTGTATTATTTTTTGCTAGAAATGGCTGTATCTTATAGTCGATGAACTGCACTGTATTTCATTTTTTTGGCACTGTATTTCGGAGGAATTGCACTGCTAGCTCTTATCCCAATCAGAATTGAGAAATGTTTCGTGTATATTATTATGATAGTAACTATACCAGATGATTATCACATTGGAGAATATTGAGAAAAAAACCCAACAAAAATAGAGAAAGAATCCGATTTGAATGACATAATTTATATATTTTGCAATTTGAAAAAGCCACATTTCACATTATTTTGAGGAATGTTTGAAAACTTAAATTGTTACCCAGAGGAAGGTTCAACAGTTTTTGCAATTCTGTTGGTTAGAGCGCTGCACCGGAATTGCAGGGCAGCAGGTTCGATCTCTGCCCGAAAGCCTATAGTTGCATTGTGAATGTAGAAAATTCACACGTGAAATTTCCATCTGCAAAATCTTTCGGCCACCTTCGGAACCGTTTAGACTAAACCGCACACACATATTGTTTATCTTTCAGTGCCTTTGGAAACGTTAATCACGAAATGCAAAGAACTGCAAATATCTCTCTCAAGCTTACTGAAAATACGTTCCGTTCTCCAGGGATAATTCCATGCACACAGCTCCAGAATACAGATTTCAGGTTTTTACATCTACTATAACATTCATTGCCAATCCGATCCGTTTTCCAAGAATGATGGCACCCCAGAATACAGAATTCTGTTTTTTGTGTAAATATTATATCCAAGTGGATAAGATCACGCGATTATTTTTCTATTGTTCCGAGATTGCCCTATATCGAATGACTCTTTCTTATCATAACAAAATTAAATTAGTTAACGCTTAAAAATGATGTTGCTATCAATCGACAACTTCGGCAGCTCGCACATCTGCTGCTGGTTACAATTTTGTTCCAGTTTACGAAGGCATAGAGCAAAGAAGATATTGCAGTAAGCTGGGTCTAGCTAGGATGTTAGATTTCGGGAGGAAACCTTAATCTGGAGGGAGTGTATACATTCTAATTTCAAGAGAATAGCCTAAAACAGCATTGTTGTAATCAGGGTTCCCATGAAAGCTAACACCTGGCGATTTCGCAGTCTGTGGCCTAGACAATCGCCGATTATTTCTCGAAATTACAAACAGAAATATTTTCTCCTTACGGCAGAAATGTCAAGGGAAAGGTTTCCTGATTTTCTAATATAAATTTTACACGATAATCTTTGTCAAATATTTGAATAAAATGACAAAACCTTAAAATGGCTGAAAATGCATGCCATTTCAGAGGGTTTAAATTTGAGAATCTTCACAGACAGACGTATACGCCCTTGGATCCCCCCTTCCCCAGACACGATATGTTTTGAAACCAAATACAAGGCTATCATTACACCACAACATTGCAATTTTACAGTTGTTATTGTAACACAAGTTTGATTGTCATTACTATTAGCTAAACGTAAAAACATCACGTCATTCAAGCAGCAACCGCACTAATTCACTATCAGAAATCTACACGGAAAAACGCAGCCTTCTAGCGGAGACCCAGGGGCGAAACTAGCCCCTTTTAATTGGGGGGTGTCTGCGAGAATTGCCCTGCGAAAGCCGATGATGCCCCGCAGCAAAAAAATTTTTTTTGGCCACTATTTCTCCCAAAAATGTTGGCGAGCGGGGGGGGGAGGGAATCGAAAAAAAATTTTCCGGGCATTTAAAAAAGGGGCGAAAAAATTTTTCTGCACATAAGCCAATTAAATTAAGGGTCAAAAAATTTTTTTCGGACAAATTCCTGTTCAGTAAAACATGCATGAAACCCTTATTTTTTGACCAATATCTTCAGGTCTATAAATTCTATTCAATTCCCTCTGGAAGCCATGGAAGCTACTTAATAACTCTACATTGTATCATTTAAAATCTTTCATTGCCCTTCCAATCCAGATGATTTGCCCTGCCAATCCAGATGATTTGTACTTTGGGGGGTGTCACACCCCC